TACTGCCACATTACTGACTTTCTTCATTGTTGTTCTCTAGCGAACTTGGGGAAAGCTGATTCATTAGCCGTCCAGGAGACTGAAGCCCTCTGTTTATCCACAGAGCAGGTGCCACACTGCCTAGCCCACCTTCCCTTGCCAGGATCTCTCAATCCTGTTTTACAGAAGCTCCTTGGAATGAGATGGACATTCATTCTCCTCAGACAATGCCTACAAGGGTAACAGTCATGATGAGAGGGGTAATACAGACACATGAACTTAGACCCACCTACTCAGATCACATAGACCAACACCACATAACATGAATGGGTAATAGCCCTCAGTCACTCCTAACCTTGTCAGGATTTGAACTGGTGACCTAAATGTGGAAAGTACTGCAACCCATCAGTAATCCCTTCTGCCATTCAGTCCTCTAGGGCTTTGAATGCTTGAAAAAGTTGAAATAGTCTTTTCATTTGACCACACAAAATGATTGAACAGGTTCATGAATTTCCCTCTAAGGATCAAATATTGATATCAGAAATCACAGACATCTGATATAGCCAAAAATCCCTTTGGGGAACCAGAGAGCATGCAAGCACCTCTCAATTTGGGGAGGTCATAAGGACAACAGGGATTAGTTTGTGGCAGACACGGGCAGAGGAGTGCTTCACTGTTTCTCATGAGACCAACGACAACTACCCATAAATGGTCCCCTTCCTAAAAGCCTGTAAGTGACTTGCTGCTGACATGGTTGCAAACTGCTATGTCCAAAACTGTTCTGGCGACACTACAAAGTGAATACACAGCCCGAAGACAAACATTTTCTCCGAATCAGCAACAGTTGCTCGGTTCTGGATGGCTTCCAAACTTAACCTTCATTCAGTAGCAAAATAATGAAATACACTGACAGCAGCCAAGAAACAGCAGCAGCAAAAACAACAACAATTACTAAAAAGATAAAAGAGCTCAACCAGAGAGAGGGAAAAATAAAAAAAAGAGTGAGGTATGATGTAGAACTGAATGGAAATACTATGCATATTCTGCTTTACATAATGGTTCCAGACACTTAGAATTCTCTCGTCAAGTGTGGTTTGCATGCTCTTTATTAATCATTTTATGTCTGCTAACATCAGATATGTATGGTTAGGGTTCAGGAATTAAAGAATCAGAGAAATTAAAGAGGGAAAAGACCTATTGGGTAAATCTCTCTCTCTCAATCTCTCTTTTTCTCAACTGCCCATGACAATGATATGTGAGGGTGATACTTGATATTGGGCAGGTAAAGTATGAAAGTCTCTAATGGTCACTTGGGGGCTTTCAGTCAAGCTCTGTGTCTTTCTAATAGATATGCTATGATTCAACTGTAAGTTACTGGGCTCAGTTCAGGAATCACGGGATGTAATTTTGTGGCCTTTGTCATGCCGGAGGTCAAACTAAATGATCATAATAGATCCTTCTGTAATCAGATTTAGGGGTTTGACATGGTTGACCATCTTGCATCCTGTTCTGGAGAGACACCACATAATGTGCTCGATATCGCATCTCCCTGAGGATTACTGGTGTTGAGTTCTGAGAGAGAAATGCATACCCTGAAGTCTGTGTTCAGTCTTCCGTGAGGAGGCAGCCAACCGCTCTGTGAGGCGGTCAATCTGCCAGCTGGCTTTACAGGAGCAGTGGCATCAGCTGCAGCCTGTCCCCTCTGCTAGCTGCATGAAATAGCTGGTCTGAGAGGATTAGAAACTGGAGGAGTAGGGAGCAAATTGCTGCAGGGAGCTGGAGTTGGGGTTGGGATAGGAGAGAATGCTAAGGTAACAGTTATTTTTAACATTCTTCCATAATCTCAAATTACCTACACCGATGAGGTTGGGGGATGGAGGAGTTCAAATATAAAATCTGACTTTCGGGAAAGGCTATGGAAAATCATAACTCACATTAGCAGTGAGATTAAAGAATAAAACTAGATTCACACTTCAGGCAAAAATGAAATCTCAGTCTTCACTTTGTGTGTCACGTGCACTGGGCCAGAGTTGTGACCATGTGACTATAGGGCTTAGTCACCAGTGTGCCTGCCCTGCTGTTAAGACCATTTCTCATGATGTACATCTCAGTGATGGATAGCCACTAGCCTGACAGGTGGAAAAGCAGAATGTGAACTTACCTTTTCCATCTCCTGCCTCCTAGGCCAAATATCAGGCGCTTCCTGAAGGAGATTCATTCTTCCAAAAGTAATAATCTTCCTTCCTTCCATGCAAGCAGAGAACTTGGATCTCCTGTTTAAAAAGGCCCTCTTCTGTCACAAAAGTTCTCAAGAAACTAGATTTGTAGAGTCCTGTGTGCTCAGGTATTAACAGTTCTTGGATGCACTCAGCCATTGTGCATTAAACAACAACCAGTAATGGGAGCCAAGGGGCTTCTTGTCTTCTTTGCCTGCTTATCAGATATTCCACTGTACTACTGTCCTGTTAAATAGTGGAGGGCAAAGCCTTTCCTCTATGCATTTGCCACAATCTGATACTGTACTGTGAGGTTACTTGGAACACTTATACTAGCATCTCTTATTCTGAGGGAAGCTCTTCTCTTCCACTCACACCTCCCAAAGTGAATATACAGTTTTGCTATTCACATTAGCCTAGTAATAACTTTGCCAACTGGGTACCCAGAATGAGAGCTTTGTTGCCATCTGTCAGAGGTTCGCTTGAGCTAACAGAGCAACTTGCAAAGCAAGCTCCCTTTAATTTTACAGCACTCAACTGATATCCAACTCAGGGCTTTAAATTCAACCCTGTAAAACAAAACAATATTTTCCTGATTCCACTAAAAGATGCAGTCAAAGTTAGGCCCCTGACCAAGCTGGGCATTTGGATTCACAGACAGACAACCTTCCTTCCTTCCTTTAGAGGAAGCAGCCAGCCCTTTTTACCTTGCCCGCTGGGCTCTGATTGGCTTCTGCCTGCTTCCAGCCCTTCTAGCTGCTGCTGGACCAATTATTGTTGGTTCCACTAGCAGCTGATCCTGGGTGGCCTCTCTATGAGCTCTTGGAGGACTAAACTCACTGCTCTTTTCACCCAAAAAGTGGGCAGGGTGTGCCAAGGCAGGAGGGCTTCAACGGGAGGAGGGATAGCTCAGTGGTTTGAGCACTGGCCTACTAAACCCAGCATTGTGAGTTCAATCTTTGAGGGGGCCATTTAGGGATCTGGGGCAAAAATCTGTCTGGGGACTGGTCCTGTTTTGAGCAGGGGTTGGACTAGATGACCTCCTGAGGTCCCTTCCAATCCTGATATTCTATGACTCTATTCACTGGTTCAATCAAAATAAGCAGTCAGTTAGGCCTCTGACCAGCTATGCTTTTGGATTAAGACAGGGGAGATCCTTCCTCCCCTGTCCCTGCTTCACTCAGGACTGCCCTCCTGGAAGAAGCATCCCACCCTTTTGTACCTTACCTTCTACACCCCAAGCAGCATGACCTAGTAGCTAGAGCACTACACTAGGATCAAGGGGGCCTGGGTTCTTTTCTTGGTTCTGCTGGTGGTCTTGGACAAATCACCAACCTGCTATGTGCCTAATGTAAGGGGACTGTTGCCCCCTTACTAACATTCAGTGGGGGTGTTTTGGTTGGCTAGCTCCCAGCACTAAAAGGGGAGGGGTCGATGGCAAATCAGGAGCCTGAGACTGACTGTCCCCAGGAACAATGGGGAGAGGCCAATGCTCCAGATCAGCCTGATTGACAGGGCGGGCAGGCTAATCAGAGAGTCAGGAGGCCGGGGGGGTCCCGTCCTCCGTGTGAGCTGGGATGGCCTGGGTCAGACAGAGCGGGGCCGAGCTAAGGAGAGAGCAGGGGCCCGAGCTGAACTGCTGGGGGCAGAGCTGCAGCCCCAAAGCCAGAGCACAGCCCAGAGAGAGCAGCCCTGCCCTGGGAGCAGAGCTGTAGCAACCAGAGCCAGAGGGGCCAGAGAAGCAGCCCAGGGAGCTGGAGGCAGAGCAGCAGCAGCAGCCGTGCTGAGGCCGAGTGGAGCTGGAGCCGGGGCTGGAGCAGTCCGGAGCTGGGGCTGGGGCAGTCCGGAGCCGTGTGCAGTCCGAGTGTGGCGAGCAGCTGGGGAGAGTGAGGGGGACCCTGGGCAGTGGGCCCAGCACAGGGAGACGCCTCAGCCAAGAGGCCTTGCAGGCCAGACTTGCAGGGGGATCATAACCCCGACCGGGCGGGGGCGATGCTGGGAAGAAGGGTCCTGCCACCTAGAGCCTGAGAGCGTGTGGCCACCACCAGAGCAAGTGTCCAACCCACAGCGTCCCTGCAGCACGGCCAGGGCCTGAGAAGGAG